ATGTTCTCTCCAAAAATAGCTACAAACAAGTTCTTAGCCAACATAAGTACATTTTATAGCTCTCTTCGTCTACATTCACTCACTAAATGAATTGCAAAAAACGTCTTTTGCTCTCTGGTCAGTGGTGTTGGTGGCTCAGTGAGTCACCGCTGCAGGTCACGCTCCCTTTCCTCATGCATGCTCTGGAAGTTTTGAGCAAGCGCGTTTCAAATAAAAAGATGCTTTTGTTACAATCCAAGTTTTAGATACTTCTGGTTGATTAAAATAAATCGCGTTTTAGATACTTGTAGAGGAAATATAGACGGAGAGAAAGACATTTGAAAAATGTACCTATGTTGGCTAACACCTTTGTATAGCCATTTTTCGAAAGAACCTTTTTTTGGTTTTTGCTGCGGTTGGTGACAAGTTTATAACCGATCCAGCTATAATTGTGTATGTAAATTGAGAGCTACAATTTCTAACTTGCATTAGATTATTTCTTAGTACTGTATAGAACGCAAGTTATTGAATTTCGGAAAAGTGGCTCTAAATCGCAGTTTTTTGTTATTTTGCAAAAAAATGGTTTAACTGATTTAAACCTATGGCACCTTATTTTATTTGTATTAAAATTGCGCATCTTTTTTACCAAACTTTTTTATGTGCAATTCTCTGGTTTTTTCTAGACGTAAAGACATGTTTTAGCCATCTTTCTGATTGATCCCACACCCGCTCAGAGCCTTGATACATCGACCCATAGAGATATTAAAATAGACGACGCCAGAGGTCTATTTTACTGTAAAAGTGTGCGATATGCGGAGTGAGAGAGAAGACTGTCAGTGAGTTCCTCTTGTCCTTGTCTAACTAAAGCATGCACAATTGCTCACTATCTGTGATTATAACTACTAGACAAAGACATAAAGGGACTTACTGGCAGCCTTTTCTCTCACTCCGAGTATCAGAAGATTTTGCCCTGGCGTGCTCTATTCTTATATCTCTATGCATTGACCTTCTTTATTAGGGCCAAGACCTTGGCATACTTTTACCTCCGGCTGGCTGAACTATTATCGCCTCGGGCCTGTCCCTACGACATCTCTCTTTGGTAAATTTTGGAGGCCTAACTCCTTCTCCAGGGGATTTTTTCTCCTCAGCCTTTTTGTTTTTTCTCCTTTCTTGGACCTTTGTCCATTTTTCTTTGGGTAGAGCATCAGCTGCACCCCACTAATAAGTATTTGACTGAGCGACAGTGGTCGCTTTTCTACAGAGATAAACTGAGCAGAAGCCGTCTATTTTCATAGATATTGAGCAGCGGTACGAGTGTATGTCTATATCCTCTTCACTTGCTTACTCGCTTGTTTCACGAATCAACAAAAATAAATATGGCGTGCATACTAAAGATTCACCTAAATGTGACTGTGTACCTCACTTCTTGTCTTTTTTAAGGGTTTTTTCTATCGTTGTTTTTGAATTTGGGTATATCAACGGGTATGCACTATAAGTGCCCTCCATATAGTCCATCAATGACCAGATTCTTCAATAAAAAAAATCGCCATATCTTTTTTATTTACAGACAGCAGCAGCAGTATTTTTTTACATTAAATATTTCAAAAAAAAAATTGTTTTGACTTCGAACGTAATATTAATAAACAAAAATATATAGCGACCTTTAATCAGCATCATTTCATAAAGAAATATAAAATGTGAACGAAAAACTCACAAAGTGTAGGTGTTAAAAAATGCACAGGAAAGGAGATATCCCGAGAAAAATTAAAATAGTACTTTTATTAGTGATTTTTGAATAAAAAACTAGCCTCCACACAACGCAGACTGTATGTGCGTTGTAACGAAAATGTCAATTTTCGAGGTAAAAAGAGTCTCGTTGACTGAGCTGCATGTATATTCTATTGTCATTGGCATATCGTAAAACCATCTTTGATTTATTCTGAATCAATTACTCACACAGTGTAACAGGGGCATCTTGTTTTACATGGCTTCCAAACCATAAGACCACAGTTGAAAATATGCACATAAGAAATAAGTTTTCCAGCGGTGCAGGCCGAGTAAGTAAAAGCTAGATCTCGACGCATATGTTACCCAGCTCTCGAGCTCTAAGCACCGTAGTCTAAGCCACTGAGCTATTGTGAGTGTAAAAATCTCTGTATGCTGATCTTTTTCTCTGCAGACAATCTGATCTGCAAACTATAAGTATGGTAGTTAACTAAAAATCATATTAATATCCCGAAAATTCTGACTACCTTGAAAAAAAGGGTAGTAGTTTTAATGCATGGTAATAAATGGTTACAGAATTTACCAAGTAGAAATGTTAGAAAAAGCTCCAAAAAATGGTGAAAATGGCCAAAGCATATTTTTTACGTTTAAAAGAAAACTTTAAAATTGCACATCAAAAAGAGTAAAAAAAATATGGGCAATTTTCAGACGAACAAAATGAGCTGTATTGTTTTTAAGTCGGTTCACACGTTTTTTCGTAAATCGTAAGAAACTGCCATTTTGAGTCATTTTTTCGAAATATTTGAGGCATTATTTAGATCTAAAATTGAGCCACAAGGCAGATATTATAGTTCTTAACATATGCACAAAATTTTAGCTTGATCTATTGTAAACTTTTCGTGAACGGCAGAAAAACCGAAAAAATGTTCTCTCCAAAAATAGCTACAAACAAGTTCTTAGCCAACATAAGTACATTTTATAGCTCTCTTCGTCTACATTCACTCACTAAATGAATTGCAAAAAACGTCTTTTGCTCTCTGGTCAGTGGTGTTGGTGGCTCAGTGAGTCACCGCTGCAGGTCACGCTCCCTTTCCTCATGCATGCTCTGGAAGTTTTGAGCAAGCGCGTTTCAAATAAAAAGATGCTTTTGTTACAATCCAAGTTTTAGATACTTCTGGTTGATTAAAATAAATCGCGTTTTAGATACTTGTAGAGGAAATATAGACGGAGAGAAAGACATTTGAAAAATGTACCTATGTTGGCTAACACCTTTGTATAGCCATTTTTCGAAAGAACCTTTTTTTGGTTTTTGCTGCGGTTGGTGACAAGTTTATAACCGATCCAGCTATAATTGTGTATGTAAATTGAGAGCTACAATTTCTAACTTGCATTAGATTATTTCTTAGTACTGTATAGAACGCAAGTTATTGAATTTCGGAAAAGTGGCTCTAAATCGCAGTTTTTTGTTATTTTGCAAAAAAATGGTTTAACTGATTTAAACCTATGGCACCTTATTTTATTTGTATTAAAATTGCGCATCTTTTTTACCAAACTTTTTTATGTGCAATTCTCTGGTTTTTTCTAGACGTAAAGACATGTTTTAGCCATCTTTCTGATTGATCCCACACCCGCTCAGAGCCTTGATACATCGACCCATAGAGATATTAAAATAGACGACGCCAGAGGTCTATTTTACTGTAAAAGTGTGCGATATGCGGAGTGAGAGAGAAGACTGTCAGTGAGTTCCTCTTGTCCTTGTCTAACTAAAGCATGCACAATTGCTCACTATCTGTGATTATAACTACTAGACAAAGACATAAAGGGACTTACTGGCAGCCTTTTCTCTCACTCCGAGTATCAGAAGATTTTGCCCTGGCGTGCTCTATTCTTATATCTCTATGCATTGACCTTCTTTATTAGGGCCAAGACCTTGGCATACTTTTACCTCCGGCTGGCTGAACTATTATCGCCTCGGGCCTGTCCCTACGACATCTCTCTTTGGTAAATTTTGGAGGCCTAACTCCTTCTCCAGGGGATTTTTTCTCCTCAGCCTTTTTGTTTTTTCTCCTTTCTTGGACCTTTGTCCATTTTTCTTTGGGTAGAGCATCAGCTGCACCCCACTAATAAGTATTTGACTGAGCGACAGTGGTCGCTTTTCTACAGAGATAAACTGAGCAGAAGCCGTCTATTTTCATAGATATTGAGCAGCGGTACGAGTGTATGTCTATATCCTCTTCACTTGCTTACTCGCTTGTTTCACGAATCAACAAAAATAAATATGGCGTGCATACTAAAGATTCACCTAAATGTGACTGTGTACCTCACTTCTTGTCTTTTTTAAGGGTTTTTTCTATCGTTGTTTTTGAATTTGGGTATATCAACGGGTATGCACTATAAGTGCCCTCCATATAGTCCATCAATGACCAGATTCTTCAATAAAAAAAATCGCCATATCTTTTTTATTTACAGACAGCAGCAGCAGTACCGACCCTTAATTTTCCCTCCGCTGCAAAAAAAAATTATTGTTACTTGCCAAGCAATGTCGGTAATTATATTTAAATTACGCGGATCACTTTCTGAAATTATGTTACAAAACCTCTTACCTTTTTCTGCGCACCGCGTATTAGATTATTGGGTTATTGGCTCTCTACACTGGGTTACGTGACGTCTCAAAAAAATATGACCCTGGATACCATGCCTCTGGCGCAAGCCGTATGACATATGTATGTATGATTGTGAGTGGAAAGTTAGTTTCCTTACTACTTGAAAGGTGTTTGATTACGTCCTTGTTACTTTCCGAAGTGTCGAGTGCCCTAAGTAATTGACCTGACTGCGAAACAAAGTTAAAAAACAACTACCCAAGGCATTTAAATGGTATTTAAAAATTTCTATGTTCTTAATTATTGATTTTCTTTATACAAAATGTAGTAAAATATGTCTGTTAGTTATGTAAAAGGATGTTTCATGAGACCATAATTTATCAAAAAATTCAACTTTTATATTAAGTACATGATGTTTTAATAAATGTGAGGGCTTCCTTACCTGTAAAGAATACTAAATATAAGTGTCTTTGTAAGCCTGGGACGATACATTTGACTGTATTTCAATTAATAAGTTGAAAATATGAAAAATCTCCATATTGTAGTCAATCTCTGTAGCGTTGAATAGATAGTTTTACGTAGCGTTCTTGCCCATGATAACATATTTTATAAGTACACGATTACAAGTCTGTTTAGAAATATAGATTTTTTTTTATGTGATGTGTTGATTTTTCTAACTAAACGTTATTTTTACAGCCCTGGAGGTATACCAGCTAGGAACGCCAGAGGTGAGCGCCTTCTGTTGTTTATTGGTATCATTGACATCCTTCAAAGTTACAGATTGAAAAAAAAACTTGAACACACGTTCAAATCAATGATTCATGATGGTGTAAGTATGAAGATTTAAAGATTAAAGAAAACTTGAACAATGTATTACTACTGTTGCTTATTAGGAATTATGCTTATTAGTGTGTAGAATAAAGAAATTATATTTTTAGGATACGGTGTCCGTTCATCGGCCTGGTTTTTATGCCGAGCGCTTCCAAAGTTTTATGGCTAAAACAGTCTTCAAGAAAATACCTTCACGTAAGTACCATCCGAATCAGCCATTAGTTGCACATTTGACCTCCATGCTAGTTATTAACAAAGCTCACTCTTAAAAGCTTACATTGTTCAAAGAAGAAAAAAAATATCAAAAGATTTAAACATACCTTAAAATTTTTGTCTTGTAACATTGCGTATAAGAGTTCACATAAATTTGTAATCTTATATTAGGGTTCTTCTTGTTTGAAAAAAAATTCGCTTGTCCAGATATAATTATTGTCATAACAGAAAAAATGTAAAACAGATAATTGTTAGTGGGATTCAGTATTTGCAGTTTATATAACCTGCAATATTTTTTGTTAAGTAACGTGAATTTATAAGTATAATATTAAAAAAACAGTATTCCTTAAGCTGTAAACTATAAATATGTGCTTATGAACTTAATTATAATTATTGTTACTGACTTATGATGAATTGTTCGAAATTCATTAATTAAAAAAAAAAGTAGGAAAATTTTTATATCAACCTCATTTCATAACAAATCTACACGTTATTAAAGTTAAATTGGTATAGTATTTGTCAAGAGTATTAGGCTCTTTCCTGCGTACAACAAATATATTTTTTTACAAGAAATGCTTTAATGTTAAATTCTTATTGATCTTTGTTTAACTTAAATGTATAAAAATTTTTCTACTTACTGTCGACATCCATACTGCATTAAAAATTTTTATTATAGTTCGTAGAAATATTTAGTTTGTTAACAAACCGAAATGTTACTATAGAACAAAAATGCGAATTACTGTACACACAATCATATTGCGCATTTTTATTTGATTGATACATATTTTCATACGGATTCTGTCATCCTCTTAACATACAAGGTAGTTCTTGTTTTGTATGATAATCAATGGATTACTTTAAACTTAGTTTGTGTAATTAATATTTGGTTCAAAGTTTTAGCACATCTTATTATCTTAAAAATCAAGGGAATTTTTAAAATAATCTGTTTTGAATTCTAAGTAGTTGGTATAAGTGCGTATATTTATCTTCGAGTTAAAAATTTTAGTATTTCTAATTTGAACATGTCGATAAAAAGCAGGCTGTACATAAAACAATTGTATAAGTTACTATTCATTTAAGTAAATGAACACCGTAAAACGAGAGTAGTAAAATTTTCTTTCAAAGGGAAAATTGCACTTTTACACATACATGTTTTGATGCCTCAGAAGAAGCTGAATTCTGTTTACAAGCTGTGTAAGAAATGCTGCTTTTTTCATAACTACGATAAAAATAATAAGTTCTTCTCAATTTCACAAAATGCAGATGTAATGCGTAGTATTATCGACCCATCAGCTTTCTAGACTAGTCACTGGGGGTTTTTATATAAAAACATGCAAAAACCATTTTGACCTTTCCATTTTTTACCTTTTTGTGTGTAAATTTATCGCACCAACTCCGTAACAGCTGAAAAGTTGTGCATTATTGTTTAATTGTGCAATGAAGTCGTAAAAAAAAAAATACGTTTTTTTTTGTTTTCTGGTTATATGATCTTTATCAATAGTTTTACAACAATACTCTTATAGAATAAGTTATAGGTATTAAGGTAGTTTATGCAAAAACACGTTTTCTTAAGATCCTTTTGAAAATTTGTATGGGCATTATATTTATTGTCATGAATATGTACACAAAATTTTAGATTATTCTCGCGTACCGATTTTGAGATATTGAATTTTAAAAATGCAGTATTTAACATGTAATTACTATGCAACTTCTTAATAAAATGTATTTACCAATCGAATGCAATAAAATGGCTCTTAAGATTTGGCTAAAAAATAGATATATTTTACAGAAAAACACACAGCACCTTAATACATAAAAATATAATCGAGTTTGCGTGCCGTTTACAAGAAATTATATTTTAAAGATTAATAATTTTACATTGAATGACTGCAGAAACGATGCAAGCGAAGAAGCAAAACAAATAACTGGCAACGGTGCACTGATTTCGACAAGAGTAGTATCTACTTTAACGACCAATGATAATCCATTTTTTAAAAATTAGTCTGGTACATTGTCGACGGCTCTCATGAAAAACAGTACAACTCATATTTTTCTATTGAAAATAACGTTGGAGTTTCTAAGTTTTACTATTTTTCGTAAGAGCCGTCGTTATATAGTAAGTTAGTAGTTTTTTTTTAATAACTATTATAAAATTGCTATTATTACTTTTACTACATCATATTTTATATGATCAAATAAAATTTTTGAAATAAAAAACGCCAGTCTACTTATTATTTTTTATTTTTCGAAAATATGTACACTTTAAAATAAATTATGTATTCATGGTACGAAACAACATTAACTTTCTTTCACATTAAAATTTGAAATTTGTGTCATGAAGAAATTCTGGAGACAAGCAAATTTATTTTTGATCAACATTTATTTTTTTAAATTAATAATACTGTCGAGTATTCTCTTATTGTTAGTAAAACGCGGTTTTCCCTTTTCTGTTGCTTCACTTAACATATTTTTTACAGCATAATCACCTCCTTCAAGAAAAGCTTTTGAAATCTTCTCAAAGTTTAGATTCATTTTTGCCAATCTTTTTATCATTTCTTTTGAAATAATATTTTTTAATAAAAACAGATTCATAATATTTAAATTTATATTGTCAGACTTAATTTCTTCGCTCAAATAATCTTTATAGCTTTTTTTATACTTCATCAGTTCATTTTCTTGCCCTAGTTTAATTATTAGTTCTTGTAAAATATATACATCAAAATCAGCATTGTTAAAATTATCTTTTTTCTGAGGCCCTAAAATATCTTGAGCTAAATTGCAAATTTTTAACGCACCAGAATCTTTTCTTTCAGGTGAATGTTTTTTAAATAATTTCGATGTATCTGAAAAGCCAGTTACAATATCAAAATTATTTTGTAACTCACATTTGACGATTTTTTTAACCAATTGGGGAGCGTCAAATGTCACATTTTGAGCAACAAGTAAGATGGATTTTTTGCCAGGTGTAAAAATTCTTGAAAAGCAAGTAAAGCTTCTGATAACTCTACAGTTAGTAACTCTGTTTTGTTAATAAAACAAATTGCTGTTTTTTACACTCAAACCCGTTTTCTTGGTTGTTAATGGATTTATTGCTTGCGTCGGTATTATATAAATATTAAAATTATGATTTTGAAACTTGGCAGCAATTTGTAAAATGTCGGCATCCATCTCAAAGCCAGACGTCTCCAAATCAAAGTAAACAACTACATGCTCAGATATAGTTGTAGAAACATGTACATCGGAACTGAATGTATTTATGCAATAATCAGATTTATATGTGACACCTTCAGATCTTTCCTTCTGCTTTCTACAGAGCTCCTTTTCTTGGACGAGTTGAAGTCTTCTATATTTTTGTTTAATTTATTTTGATTTTAACGCTCGGTACTTTCTAATTCTATCTGATCTTGAAGCATGTTTGGCTGTAAATATTCCTGGAGGTAGAAGCATTTTTCTTTGAATATTTAATATGGATGATTCTCCATCATTTTTATTGCATACAGCACTCGCCACTCTAAGGTCCGCTGATGTACTTCGACTGTAGCAAATATTTTTTGGTAATTTGTGAGCAATGATGTTATTAACTGATTCGTTGGCCTGGCTGGATGCTGAAAAACAGAACTTGCTGGAATTTTTTGCATACTTATTAAAAATATCCTGTAATTTTGTGTGTAAATTTACATCTGTTAAATTAACGGTTTGATAGTTGAGATTGTCTTTCCTTTTACACCAGTCACCACATTGTTTATGCTGGTTAAATAAATGAGTAGGAATATTACGTAGTGTATCAACAAGCTCAATGCTTTTACTTTTATTTTGCTCTACTGCATAATAAAAGCACTTTTTAATAAGGTTTATGACTCCTTTCTTTTTTAATTCTTTATAATTGTTTGCCAAATTGTACAAATCTTTGCCAAAATTCTTAATTAAATGATTTTTATCTGATAACTTGTGGACTGTGTCTAGATTGGTTTTTCGTATAGAAGCTATAGTGCTACTATTATCATCACCAATTATAACTTCCACCTTCAAATTTTTTTCTTTAAGAATCAAACTGCTATTAACCAACTCTTCTCCAAGATGAGCTTCCATAGCTTTTGCACTGCCAGAAAAAATTTTTGCGGCAATCATGATTGAGCTTAGGACATCCTAAATCACATTTGGTACATTTACGGTTACTCGTCGCATAATCTAGTATTTTTCCACTTAAAAAGCCTATCATAGTGCCATACCCATTAAGGCTGTTGTAGGCTCTACCATTACTTCTTTTACTCCACCCCATGTCATACGACACAATTATATTGACTATTTCATCAATAGATTTATAAAACAAAGGTTTGGATTCGTTAGGATTCTGGGTATGGTCATTCATGTTTGAGTGGAGTGTTTCTATGTTAGGATAAACACCTGTCAGGATATCTTGTGGTCTAAAGGATAAAAAAAATTCGAATTACGAAGTATTGTTTATTATAAAAATCAATACATTTTGTTAAAATTAATACTACTTACAAAAACCACTCTTACTGTACGACTAAAAAAATCAATACTGTTAAAAATTAATTTAAAACATTTTGTAAAATACCAAAATAAAAAATTAAATACAATATATTTTTAAAAAAATGTAAAATCAATTGTATATGAAAAACAGATTTACCAAAAAAAGTCGTCATTAAAAAATTTAATTTTATCCGTGTATCACTTTAAAAAAAATAAAATCATATCTTTCGCTTTGATTAACAAAAAACTTACAAAATATTTGACAACTCATTCATTTTTTCTAAAACTAGTTGCCTTTCTTCGTTAGCAGCTCGTCCATAGCTTTCTTTCGCAGCTTCTTCTATGTGTTTTCCTACCCCTGATCCGTACTTTTTGTACATTCTCTCAGACAAAATCAACACAGGACAAAAGTTTGGACAAGCAAGTATATCCTGAACATGCATGTACCGCTCCTGTAAAAAAAATTTCATTATTAAAATGAACTTCAA